ATCTGATAATATATAAAAGTAAATCCTACCTGCGACCTACCTGTACCCACCCTCCATCCCTGACCTCCCACCGCCGTTGTACCTACAAAATCTAATAATACATAAAAAAGTAAATCCTACCTGCGACCTACCTGTACCCACCCTCCATCCCTGACCTCCCACCGCCGTCGTACCTACAAAATCTGATAATATATAAAAGTAAATCCTACCTGCGACCTACCTGTACCCACCCTCCATCCCTGACCTCCCACCGCCGTCGTACCTATAAAATCTATAATATATAAAGTAAATCCTACCTGCGACCTACCTGTACCTACCCTCCATCCCTAACCTCCCACCAAACCAACAGTACCTACTGTAAGGGGTAAGTTGAGACGCGACGCGACGCACATCACGTGACTTATCGTCGCGAAAAACCTGTTACAAATATTAAGCAAAATTAGAACAGTTCAATATTTTTACCTATACTTTTAGTGAAATACCCGCGCATATAACATATTTCCTGTAGTGACTCCTCTACGTCGATCATCCGTACTACGGTAAAATGTTGGAGATCGAATATGATGCAATTATACACACCCTTTTTCCTGAGACGTGCCGAGACCGGAAAAAGAAACCAATACTTAGCAAACAAGAAGATACAAGTTCGGAGGGAGACCAAAAGATGACCCGCTGGATAAGACGATATAATGAAGCTGCTAGTCGTCGATATTGGACGGACGTCAAGAAGCTTGTTTATTGGGACAAGTGCATCGAAGAAAGAAGCTTTGTGCCGACCTTCCTGTGGCATTTCACGTTGCTCGAGCAATGATGCCAATGGCAGTCGGAATTAGAGAATTTCGAGCAGAGGAAAGGCGAAGCAGTAACCGACTACGTCCAAAGGTTTGGTAAGCTACTTAAGAAGCTCTATACTAAGGGCGACTATTCTAGGGAAGTGGCAAGATGGTTGCTTGTGGTCGGACTGAGGAACTATATATTGTCGTTACCCGCCGTTAGAAATGCTACCACGCCAGGAAGAGCGCTCAGTGCAGCGGTGGAAAACGAAAGGGAAGCAAGCAAGACCCTGGAGAAATGTTCCAATAATGACGAAACTGTAGCAGCCAAAAATAATGAAAGAAATAATGAGCGCGGTGACGAAGAGAAGAATCTCGATCCATATAAAAAAGAAGAATCCCCACAAGTATCGAAAAACGATGGCCCTATTAAAATTCCGAATAAATATTGTAGCACGCTGATGAAGCTAGTAGGGATGGTAAATAAAAAAGACGATGACATGATGACGGGACAAACAAATGAAACGCTGGAACTCACCTATGATAGGACGAACACGGATCAACACCTTGACGAAACAATAACCAATTATCCCAGCAAGGCCAACGATGATGAAGCCCTAGCAGCCAAAGACTACAAGGGGAAAGATGA